CGTTATTATTCGTGAGACATTGATGATCATGTGTTTGATCATAAGCTACACTTAATGCTTGCTTAATGCTATTATCTTATCTATCTTGTGTGATCATTCACTTTTCTTGGTGATGAGTGCACGTATTTCAGTCTTATCATTTTGAGCGCTCCACCAAGATGTATGTGACATGGAAGAGTAACCCATGACTCTAACTCTTTGTGCATTTGCAGTCCAAAGCAAATTTTAAATATGCACAAATTTAGGGGGAGCTCTTACTTATCACATACTTCTCAAAGCGACGATATAATTCTTGCTTATTATCATTTGTCGAAGTTTTGATCTATATGTTGTCATCAGTTACCAAAAAGGAGGAGATTGAAAGTGCAAATATCCCTAGGTGGTTTTGGTAATTCATAACAACATATAGCTCATTGAGCTAATACTATTCCAAGATGATTATTTCAGGAAAGCTCAATGATTGGCATGGCATGGATGTGAAAGTGGAACCCTCAAAATGCTAAGGACAAAGGATTGGCTCAAACTCAAAAGCTCAAGACTCTTCATTTTATATTTTAGTGATCCAAGATCACATTGAGTCTTTAGGAAAAGCCAATACTATTAAGGAGAGATGAGGTGTTGCTTAATGAGCCTCTTGCTTCATGTGCTTAGTGATATGCTCCAAAACCCTCAACTACTTTCCCATATCCACATATGACCTAAACCCTAAGCCAAACTCGGTCCTACCGATTCTTCCTATCCGGCGCCACCGAGTTTCACTTGTCATTAGCCACTGCCAAACCCTAGCAATTCGGTCCTACCGATAGGATCTCGGTCTCACTGAGATGGGGTTGCAAACTCTCTGTTTCCATTTCGTAACTTTTCGGTCCCACCGAAAGAGCGAATCGGTCCCACCGAGATTGCAATGTAAACTCAGTGTTTTCCCTTTGTAACTTTTCGGTCTCACCGAGTTCCACTCGGTCTCACCGAAAGAGCAAATCGGTCCCACCGAGCTTGCCTGACCAACTCTCTGGTTAGCTAATTACCAAATTTGGTCTCATCGAGTTTGTGTAATCGGTCTCACCGAGATTACGTTATGCCCAAACCCTAACCATATCGGTCCTACCGAGTTGCATGTCAGTCCCACCGAAAATCACTAATGGTCACTAGGTTTACATTTTCGGTCCGACCGAGTTTATTGATTCGGTCCCACCGAGATTGAAAAACTATGTAACGGTTGGATTTTGTGTGGAGGCTATATATACCCCTCCACCTTCTCATTTAGTGAGAGAGCCATCAGAACACACACACCATTCCAACTCATATGTTCTGAGAGAGAACCACCTACTCATGTGTTGAGATCAAGACATTCCATTCCTACCATATGAATCTTGATCTCTAGCCTTCCCAAGTTGCTTTCCACTCAAACCCTCTTTCCACCAAATCCAAATCCTATGAGAGAGAGTTGAGTGTTGGGGAGACTATCATTTGAAGCACAAGAGCAAGGAGTTCATTACCTACACACCATTTGTTACTTCTTGGAGAGTGGTGTCTCCTAGATTGGCTAGGTGTCACTTGGGAGCCTCCGACAAGATTGTGGAGTTGAACCAAGGAGTTTGTAAGGGCAAGGAGATCGCCTACTTCGTGAAGATCTACCGCTAATGAGGCAAGTCCTGTGTGGGCGATGGCCATGGTGGGATAGGCAAGGTTGCTTCTTCGTGGACCCTTTGTGGGTGGTTGCTTCTTCGTGGACCCTTCGTGGGTGGAGCCCTGTGTGGACTCGCGCAACCGTTACCTTTGGGTGGAGCCCTGTGTGGACTCGCGCAACCGTTACCCTTCGTGGGTTGAAGTCTCCATCAACGTGGATGTAGGATAGCACCACCTATCCGAACCACAGGAAAAACATCCGTGTCTCCAATAGCGTTTGAATTCTCTAAACCCTTCCCTTTACATTCTCGCAAGTTGCATGCTTTACTTTCCGCTGCCTATATACTCTTTGCATGCTTGCTTGAATTATGTCATGATTGCTTTGACTTGTCCTAAATTAGCTAAAATCTGCCAAGAACTAAAATTAGAAAAAGGTTAAGTTTTTATTTGGTCAAGTAGTCTAATCACCCCCCTCTAGACATACTTTCGATCCTACAATACCACATCACCTTCGCAGGAACCCTCTTCCTGGGGGGCTCGCCGTCAACATCACCAGTGTCATCTCATCTGATCTTATACCGCAATGCACCGCATACCGGGCATGCATTCAGATCCTTGTATGCACAGCGGTAGAGGATGCAGTCATTAGGGCATGCATGTATCTTCTCCACCTCCAATCCTAGAGGGCATACGACCTTCTTTGTTGCGTATGTACTGTCGGTCAATTCGTTATCTTTTGGAAGCTTCTTCTTCAATATTTTCAGTAGCTTCTCAAATCCTTTGTCAGCCACAGCATTCTCTGCCTTTCACTGCAGCAATTCCAGTACGGTATCGAGCTTTGTGTTGCCATCTTCGCAATTGGGGTATAACCCTTTTTTGTGATCCTCTAACATGCGATCGAACTTCAGTTTCTCCTTTTGACTTTCGCATTGCGTCCTTGCATCGACAATGACCCGGCGGAGATCATCATCATCGGGCACATCGTCTGGTTCCTCTTGATCTTCAGCAGCTTCACCCGTTGCAGCATCATTGTGCACATCGTCTGGTTCCTCTTGATCTTCACCAGCTCCCCCCGTTCAGCATCACCGTATTCAGGGGGCACATAGTTGTCATCGTACTCTTCTTCTTCGCCGTCTTCCATCATAACCCCTATTTCTCCGTGCCTCGTCCAAACATTATAGTGTGGCATGAAACCCTTGTAAAGCAGGTGGGAGTGAAGGATTTTCCGGTTAGAGTAAGACCTCGTATTCCCACATTCAGTGCATGGACAACACATAAAATCATTCTGCTTGTTTGCCTCAGCCGCATCGAGAAACTCATGTACGTCCTTAATGTACTCGCGGGTGTGTCTGTCACCGTACATCCATTGCCGGTTCATCTGCGTGCATTATATATAATTAAGTGTCCAAATTAATAGAAGTTCATCATCACATTAAAACCAAAGTGCATACATAGTTCTCATCTAACAACATATAGCTCTCCAGAGCATCTAATTAATTAAACCATACATTGAAACTATGTAAAACATTTCAATGCGAAAACAAATGCGATCATAATTGCAACCAATGTAACAATTGATCCAACGGCATAATGATACCAAGCCTCGGTATGAATGGCATATTTTCTAATCTTTCTAATCTTCAAGCGCATTGCATCCATCTTGATCTTGTGATCATCGACGACAACCGCAACATGCAACTCCAATATCATCTTCTCCTCCTTAATTTTTTTTATTTTTTCCTTCAACAAATTGTTTTCTTCTTCAACTAAATTTAACCTCTCGACAATAGGGTCGGTTGGCATTTTCGATTCACATACATCCTACATAAATGAAATCTATGTCATGTTGGTCGGCATAATTTTCATAAACAATAAATGAACCAATAGTTATAAAGATAATATATATACCACATCCGAATCATAGACAGGACGAGGGCCGACGGGGGCAGATACCAAAACCATCGCAATATATAAGATGCAATAATAAAAGTAAGAAAATAATACAAGTATGTATGTAAACATACAAGTAAGAATATTATTCCTTTCAGAAAGAAGATAAGAACAAGAGGCTCACCACGGTGGTGCCGGCGATGAGCTCGGCGCGGGTGATCGACGGCGGTGAAGACGGAGACGGGGCGTGATGGACCGCTAAACCTAGACAAATATTATGGAAAATGGAGCTTGGAGGTCGAGCTTGGAGAGGAGAAAGCTTAAGTAGTGTGGCTCGGGCATTCCATCGAACACCTTGTGTGCATAGGAGGTGAGCTAGAGCACCACCAAGCCCTCTCCCCCTCGGCCAGAGAAAGACAGAGCACTGGGGTGCTCTGCTCGCGAGCGAGGGGTATATATAGGCACCTCATTGGTCCCGGTTGGTGACATGAGCCGGGACTAAAAGGGAGCCTTTGGTCCCGGTTCAAGCCACCAACCGGGACCAATGGTAGGGCCAGGAGCTCAGCCCATTGGTCCCGATTCATCCCACCAACCGGGACCAAAAATTCCAGATGAACTGGGACCAATGGCCCACGTGGCCCGGCCGCCCCCCTGGGCTCACGAACCGGGACCAATGCCCACATTGGTCCCGGTTCTGGACTGAACCGGGACTAATGGGCTGACCCGGCCAGACCAAAACCCTGTTTTCTACTAGTGTTGGCTGGAAGCTTCGCCACAAAATTCAAAATAATTAGCAAGTTGAGAAAGCATCTTGCGCATCAATGATTAAAGATGAACCACGACATCATCAAGAGCACGAAGCTTGTCACAACACATCGGCGATCATGAGAAGATTTTGAGCATGCACAATAACAAGATGAGACACTTTCACGAGAGAGAAGAGATGTTCGCGAGACACTTTCACGACAGAGAAGAGATGTTCACTCTGAAACGCCAAAGGCATCGCCGCCAAACCCTAAAAAGAATACTATCGAACAACCACCATCGACCCCAAACCGGTCGTGGCACCAGCCCCATCAGAATTCACGACAAGCATCCGCCACACCAATCAACTTCTCACATGGTGTTTTCAAAAAGGGTGCGACACAGGATGTGTCGTTATTGTATGTTCCCACTCGCAAGAGGGGTTTGCCCCTAAGTCATGCTGAGTAAAGTCACCGAATACGGACACGTGGAGCTCCTCGCTGAATCAAATCGGAAATATCAAAGGGTGTACTAGCAAAATCCGACAATCCATGGGGCGTAGAGAAGACGAGAGAATCCCGTACTTTCACGCCAAGGCAAGCAACCGGCCGCCCGCCCGCCGCCATCACCACCGTCCTCCCCACGGTACTCCGGTTCCAAGTTCCGTATCCGGCCCTGCATGGCCTAAATCACCATCCCTCCACGCCTCTGCTTAGTGAGCTCTTGCTTGCCGTACATACATGCCGATGAGCTCCTCGCCGGCGGTCGCGGTCGCGGTCGCGTCTGCGGCCGTGGTAGCGCTGGCTGTCGCTAACCGCGTGCTCTATAAGCTCGCGCTGGTGCCCCTCAAGTCCTATCCCTTCCTCCTCGCTCAGCTCACCACGTTCGGGTAGGCCTGTTTGTACGGCTGAGGTGTTCGACGAAATGCGCAGCAGTTTTTGGGCTCTTACCCTACCTCTTGTGTGTGCGATTTGAACGTTGCAGGTACGTCACGGTGTACTTTTCAATACTCTATGCGAGGTACCGCGCGGGGGTGGTGACGCGGGACATGCTGACACTGCCGAAGATCCGGTTCGCTGTCATCGGCTTGCTAGAGGCTCTTGGGGTCGCCGCTGGAATGTCTGCGGGAGGTATGTTTTGTATCTTCTTTTGGTCATCGGATGCTCTTAGTGTGGTGCATATATATATAATTCATATTGTGTCTTTCTTGTAAATATTTGTGCTAATTGATTATTTTTCGTAAAACTTCCAGCTATGCTGCCTGGCCCTGCTATTCCTATACTGTCTCAGGTATGAGGTTTGGTTTATTTTCAGCTGTGCCATATTCTTTGATAGTGTTTCCACATACTTCCTGCATCATTCTCTGGACAAAAACATATTACCTGCATGCCCTTTTATCTCTGCCATCATTAATGGTTACAAATATTTCCTTTTGTACTAGGTAATTGCCCATGCATTACAAATTCGAATGCTTCAACATCAGTCATTTACATATATATTTAGAATCATCATGCACACAGATGGTATTGTCAACAATTTTTTATACAATTCTTCTTTTTCTTCTTCTTCTCTCCACCTCCCTAATTCACACTCGGCCACCCCGAGTGGTGCATCTGACTCGCAATCAGTGTTGACGCAAACATGTAGCCCATGGGCAAACATGTAAGTGACCAGAAAAACAACTGATCTTGGAGCATTTCCAGCGTAATTCGCACAAACTACCAACAATATCACATCATATGCTTCAAATGTCTCAAGGATAAAGGGAAAGAAATTTGAAAACACAACAATCTAGCATTTTGATCAGCCAAGTGCAACAAGTCAGCATCAAATATTGCTGAAATTGTCCACTAAGAGGTATTACATTCCCTCAAACAAATTGCAATTATGTTGGAGCTAGCGTAAATAATTTAGTGATACGGTCAACTTATGCTCATGATTAGGCAACGATTACCACTCCTTGTCTTACTGCCTCATAAACATTACAAGCATAAAAACCAGCAGTCTTCTCCCCATCATCTGACCATTGAGCAAGACAAAGCCCGTATTCTCATATCACTGAGCTTCAGCTATGGACATGAGGTAACATTCATTGGCAAAAAAATTAGAAGCTTCATCTATAAGCATGGGAGAACTCATTTAAAAAACACCCTTCTGTCTAATTAATCCATCAAAGGGACCTACCCAGACCTACCCATGAAGTCCCTACAGAATTAAGAACCAACCTTACTGCCAATCTCATCAATCAAAGGAAATTACCAATGCAGTGCCGGAGCGGAGCTAAATAATGGTCAAGGTTAATATATGATTTTTATTTTAAATTAACATGAATAAAGGATTTATCTAACTCAAATCTACCTATGTTTGTACAAACCTCAGTTATGCTCTCTTCCTGATTTTTCTATACACATAGATCTTCATAACTGCTGTGTAATTCTTGTCCCATGAATTCAATTTGACAAGATAATTAGTAAAACAACCAAGCAGTCTTTTTGTCGTGAAATAAAACCATATTTGCAGTTGATGTATGAGTTCGTAAGTGTATCAAATCCTGCAAGTTTAAGTACATAAGTGTATTGGATTTTCTCCTAACCACGCTACATCCCTTGTCAAAGTTTCAACTGCATTAATTCGATAGACAAATATTAAACCCTAAAGAGGACTAAACTCCCACTATTTCCAGCAAAATGTTTATATATGTTAAGACACAATTCTCTGTAACAGAATGACAGAACTGAAAATAGCTTCTTGTTCACTATAGAACTACATACGAATTGAGTAGTTAATTCCAGACAAGATTACTAATGTGCACTAATCGTGTTGCATGCTTAATATGGACATAAAAATCTAGATTAGTTACCCATACATTCACAGAAAAGTCCCCAAAATCTGTGCAAAACAAAACGCACACGCACACTTAATCTGGGCGTGGTTTTGAATTACCAAGCTGTGCATACCCTATATCGAGCCAAAAGCAAAAGCTGTGAATTACCAATCTGAATGCTTAATCTGGACGTGGTCTACAAACCTGCACATTCAGGAAGCCAAAAGTAAGTAGGAGTTGGAACGCACACACATGCTTAATCTCTACCGTTTGTTGGGCAAGTATCAATCAACCTACACAACCCAATAAAATTACATTAGCAAGTATTCGGCCATTCAGGCTGATACTCCTTTAGTTTGGTCTACTGCCTTCTCTACTGAATGAATACCAATGACCTTTAGGATGGATGTACAAATTTGTGGAGTCACCTTGGTGCAGCAAGATCTGAAGAAACAAATACAGGATGGCAGGCTGACCTTGCTGCTGCAGGCTAGCGTAGATTGAGGAGGCGGTGGCTGCAGGCTGTATGACATCAGGCAAGGATGTTGTTTGGGTCCTTTGGATGTCTGTTGAACCATGGTCTCCTCTTCCTCCTTTTGATCCCCTCCAGATCACACAACACAAGAGCGGTAGGGAGACACTGCGTGCCGCTGGGGCACCTCTTCCTCGTCGCCCCCATGTTGAAGGTGAATACGGCATCCTTGGCCGGGATACGCGGGCACCGACCGCCATGAATGCGGGCAGATGGTGCTGTCCTTTACATAAACATAGAGGTCAATGGCGGTCAGATCTGGAGTGGAGGTGGCGGTGGGTCAGGAGGTGTCGACCGTCGTGGTGCCGATGGAGACAATGGTCTGGCGATGGTGTGTGGAGAGAAGGATTGGCGAGACGTCCGTGGGGGCGGCGGCTACATGCGGCATCAGGGGAGATCGCGAGGAGGAGGATTGCGAGACGTGCGTGTTGGGTGTTACATTGGTCTGTTTTTTCATTGGGGCTTTGCCCTTGATGTGGAACTGAGGGACAATGTATAAAAAAAACAAATGGCGATGCGAGGGGCGGACGAAGGTCAGGGCAGAACACGGTCTGTTGGTTGGAAAGGGAACCTTACTTTCTTTTAGATAGTAGAGATAGAGATACTGTGTTCTTATAAATAGTGCTACACTAATGCATTTCGGAACTGTGATCTTACGATGGAATTAGCGTTCGATGTCCTAAAATTGGCAACTCCATACACTGTTGTCAAAATAATAGTCTTCTGAATGTTCTCTCCAGTCTTTCCTGGTGTGGCAGCTTATCTTCTCTGTGTTGCTTTTGGGAAAGACCTACTCTCTGAGACAAATCATTGGTTGCTTGCTTGTAACTTCTGGTGTGATTCTTGCTGTTGCGAGGTATGTCCTTCGAAATATCTGGTACATTTACTGGTAATTGTAGCACAACAAAGTTATTTCGAGAAAAATCTGCTAGCTATGCACTTATCTCTTTCGTAGGCATTCACATTTGTTTGGCGACAGAAAGGTCTTGTGCTATTTTGTACACTAGGTAGTTTGCCATAATTAATCATCCCAATGCCGTTACTGTAGTGGGGCAAATGATGGTCATCTTCTATCTGGAGTCAAGTTAATTTGGCCATTGCTGATGGTTGTTTCATCGGCATTCCAAGCTGGTGCATCCATTTTGAAGGTTTAGCCACTTAAATTATCACATAACACTCCTTTATAGTTTTGTGGCACTTCAGTCAGAAAAATAAATTCTATACTGCAGGAGTCTGTTTTCGTTGATGGTGCAAAACGTCTTAAAGTTTGTCTCACACTTTATTCTCTATGTGTGTGCGAGTCCATCTTGTATGTCAGAAAAATAACTGCAGAACCAAATATCTGCGCAGGGGAAACGGCCTGACATCTTCGTGGTTAATTCATTCGGATCTGGGTTTCAGGTGATTAATTAGTTAGCATAATTTAGCTGTTTTGCTTAACTGTACTACCATATTTGAAAACCTTAATTTATATCATGTATCATGTTTACCTTCCTTTATTCCTTGTAGGCTCTTGTTGTCTTCCTTCTTCTCCCATTACTTTCTAATTTGAGGGGGATTAAGCTTGCTGAGCTTTCTGGCCATTTAAATGGTGGTGCTGAGTGCTTCTTAAATGTTGGGGAGAGCCCAATTGGTAATGTATTTTTTCCCTGAGCTGGGTGTTTTGATCAAATTATGGATTTAGACATCGTGATGTACCTCAAATGCACTGGAATGCTTGTAGTGCACTGTCCACTTTATGATTGGGGGCTTCTGTAGCTCTCTTTGCACTTTGCTGTGTGGAACCCTTTGAATGGTAAACTATATAACTTGAGAAAATTGATTCCGTGTCTTCGAAATTTAGATTGACCCTGCGGTTAGATATATAAGGTTTTCATAGTATTGTACTTATCCATCTATAATTTTCTATTACCTGCGTACCTTTATTGCTAATTATGCTGCCATACTTATTTTGTAGATTGTGGAGGTGCTCCATTCCTACCATTGCTTTTTATATTCGTAAACATGGCTTTCAACATCTCGTTGCTTAATTTGGTAAAGATGTCGTCTGCCGTGGTTGCTTCACTTACAGCAACTTCCGCCGGTATTTTCATCCTCTTTTCTCCCCTTGCTCTATTTGTTTCATTTTTGGTCTACTGTCACTGTATAGAGTAAACTGCTTGAGTATCTTAATGACCGCTTTTATGTTGTCTGTTTTCAATTGCAGTGCCAATATCAATCTACATCCTTTCTCTTCCTTTGCCCTACATCCCTCAAGGCGCGGAATTAAGCGCTTCTTTTATCTTCGGTGGCATTGTATTGTTGATGGGCCTAATTCTGTATAACCTTCCCCAATCATCTAAAGAGTCAAAGACTGACTAAAAGCTTATGGCGATTGAGTGTATATTACCACTTCAACCGAAAATCAATTATTGGTTTGGTCCTGAAGCTAATATTAGGTTTCTAGATTGGTGACGCCAGAGTCGATAAGGACTGTTTGTTGGGATGCATGAATGCTTGGTATTTCTAATTTGTCAGAGAATAGTACTAGTACATACATGTATGTAAGAAGCTAGATTTAGTAATAGTACTAGTACATACATGGTGAAGCCCTCAAAAAAACCTACACGGCGGCGGAAGCTTCTGCTGGAGGATGGGCTCCCGCGACTCGG